TCTCCTCTCGCACCACCGCCTTGGTCACCCCTCTCTGCTTCGGCTTAGAGGCATGGCCTCTCGTCTTCTTGTTTCTGGTCTGCCCCGGTCCCTCCCTCCCCTTCCTCAGGGCCCTGGCCCTACCTGTGTCCTCTGTGTGGAGGGGCGCCAGCGTGCTGCCCCTCAATCCTCCCAGTTTCCTCCGACAGAGGCCCCGTTGCAGACGATTCACATGGACGTGTGGGGCCCAGCCCGCGTTTGTGAACAGGGTCACGAGCGCTACTTCCTGCTAGTTGTTGACGACTACTCGCGTTACACCGCATTCTTCCCCTTGCGCAGCAAGGGTGATGTCACTGAGGTGCTGATCGACTGGATCCGCGCAGCTTGTCTCCAACTCAGGCAGAGCTTTGGCTCGGACTTTCCTGTTCTGCGTCTACACTCGGACAGAGGCGGAGAGTTTTCCTCTGGCCTTCTGAGAGCCTACTGTTGCGCACGGGGCATCCGTCAGACCTTCACGCTTCCGGACTCTCCGCAGCAAAATGGGATTGCTGAGCGCCGCATTGACATGGTCATGGACGTCGCTCGTACGTCTATGATGCATGCGGCTGCCCCCCATTTTCTGTGGCCGTTTGCGGTGAGATACGCGGCGCATCAGATCAACCTTCACCCCAGGGTCTCCAGGCCGGAGACCTCCCCAGCCTTGCTGTGGACGGGGAAGGTTGGCGATGCGTCTGCGTTCCGGGTCTGGGGATCTCGGGCGTTTGTCCGCGACTTGTCTGCGGACAAACTGTCCCCTCGTGCTGCTCCTTGCGTCTTCCTGGGGTTCCCCCCTGACGCGCCTGGGTGGCAGTTCTACCACCCCACCTCTCGCAGTGTTCTGTCCTCCCAGGACGTCACGTTTGACGAGTCGGTCCCCTACTACCGCCTCTTCCCCTACAGCACTCCGTCCCTCCCCCCGCCCCCGCTCTTCCTTGTACCAGGTTCCCCCCAGGTAGACCCCCTCCCCCCTCAGGGTCCTGCCCCTTCAGGTGTGTCCCAGGTAGACGGAGTCGAGCATGTCGAGGTCACTGGTGACTCTGGTGCTGCTGAGGGTGTTGAGCCTGGGGGTACTGAGCCTGGGGGTGCTGCGCCTAGGGGTGCTACGCCTGGGGGTGCTTTGCCTGGGGGTGCCGGGCCTTAGGGTTCTGAGCCTGGAGGTGCTCCGCCTGGAGGTTCTCCGGGTGCTTCGTCTCGCAGGGAGCCACTCTCTCCACAGGAGCTGCGCGAGTGGTTTGCCCGGCGCTGGAGCCGTGGTGCTGGTGCTGGAGGTTCTTCGGCTACTGGGGGTGCTGGGCCTAGGGGTGCTGAGCCTTGGGGTGCTGAGTTTGGGGATGCTACGCCTGGGGGTGCTGGCCCTGGGGGTGCTGGCCCTGGGGGTGCTGAGCCTAGGGGTGCTGAGCCTGGGGGTGCTTTGCGTGGGGGTGCTGGACCTGGGGGTGCTGTGCCTGGAGGTGCTTCGCCTGGAGGTTCTCCGGGTGCTTCGTCTCGCCGGGAGCCACTCTCTCCACAGGAGCTGCGCGAGTGGTTTGCCCGGCGCTGGAGTCGTGCTGCTGGTGCTGGAGGTTCGTCGGCTACTGAGGGTGCTGCATTCGCGGGTCCCGGAGGTGCTCGTCCTGGGAGTACTGGAGCTGCTGGGCCTGCAGGTTCGACTGGAGCTGGTGCTACTGAGGGTGTTGGCGCTGAGACTACCACTGGCGGTCCTGGTGCCGCTGGAGGTCCTGGAGCTGCTGGCGGTGCTGCTGGGGGTTCTGGAGCTGCTGGAGGTGCTGCTGGAGGTGCTGGAGCTACTGGAGGTGCTGCTGGAGAGGGTACTCCTGCTGGGGGTCCTTGTGCTGTCCCTGCTGTTTCTGGCGTCGCCACGCGGCCTCGACCGTACTTCGTTCCACTTCTGCAGCAGGTTCTTGGTCTTACACCTTCTACTGGTCCTCCTCCTCCTCCCTTAGAGGGTCCACAGCCTGTCCAATCACAGTCACAGCTACAGCCTGCCTCCCCTTTGCCTGCTCCTTTTCCCTACGCTGGTCCTACTGGAGGTCTTACTGAGCGTCGTGAGCCTGCGTCTCGTCCTGCGTCGCCTGTTCGTGCTGCGCGCGCTAGTGGTCACGGTTCGCGTCAGCGTCCTCCTCCTGTCCCGGGCACGCACCGGATGTCTCTGCGTCCGTCCACTGCTCCTCTGCGTGCCCCTTTGCCTTCTCCTCCTGAGTCCTCTCTTCCTGCTCTTGGCGACCCAGAGTCGGACTCTCTTCGTGCTGCCAGTCCTACTGTCACGCGTCTCCTTGCTACTGGCGTCACTGACCCTTCTTTCGAGTCTACTGCTGCGTCTGCCCTTGCTGCTCGCTGTCGCCTAGACTACGCTGCGAGTCTTGTCGCTGAGTCTGAGTCTGTCTGTCCTCCGTCCGTCGGGGGTGAGTGTGCCCTTGGCACGGACGTCCTTGAGGACAAGCAGGAGGAGTTCAAGTGTCTGGCCGCTACTTCACCTCATCTCGTGTCCGTACTGCTTACCCCTGAGGGAGACCCGGATGCACTTGACATCCCGACTCCGCGCTCTTACGCGGAGGCGATAGAGGGTCCCTACTCCTCTCAGTGGCAGGCAGCTATGGATGCAGAGATGGCTTCCTAGAAGTCCACAGGCACCTACGTTGACGCAGTCCCCCCTCTCGGGGCGAACATCGTCCGTGGCATGTGGATCTTCAGGGTGAAGCGGCCGCCGGGTTCTCCGCCTGTCTTCAAGGCGCGCTACGTGGCTCGTTGCTTCAGTCAGCGGCAGGGAGTTGACTACTTTCAGACCTTCTCCCCTACCCCGAAGATGACCACTCTTCCGGTACTGCTGCACGTTGCTGCTCACCGTGACTACGAGCTGCACTCTCTCGACTTCAGCACTGCTTTCTTGCAGGGCAGCCTGCACGAGGAGATCTGGCTGCGCCGCCCACCTGGCTTCACTGGGTCGTTCCCTCCTGGTACCCAGTGGAGTCTCCGGCGTCCAGTCTACGGTCTCCGCCAGGCGCCACGTGAGTGGCACGACACACTGAGGACTACACTGGCGGCACTTGGGTTTGCTCCTTCTACTGCCGACCCGTCGCTGTTTCTGCGCACCGACACCTCTCTGCCGCCGTTCTACATCCTCGTGTACGTTGACGACTTGGTCTTTGCCACAGCTGACACTGCTGGACTCGCCTACGTGAAGTGCGAGCTGCAGAAGAGACACACGTGCACTGACCTGGGTGAACTGCGCAGCTACCTTGGCTTGCAGATCACCCGGGACAGAGCACGCCGCACCATTACCTTGACTCAGTCACACATGGTTCAGCAGGTCCTTCAGCGCTTCGGCTTCACGTACTCCTCGCCTCGGGCCACTCCTCTGCCTACTCGCCACTCGCTCTCAGCTCTGCCTTCGGATGAGTCCGTAGAGTCGAGTGGTCCGTATCCAGAGCTTGTTGGCTGCCTCATGTACCTGATGACCTGCACACGACTTGACCTTGCATACCCTCTTAGCATTCTCGCACGCTATGTTGCTCCTGGGAGACACCGACCAGAGCACATGGTTGCAGCGAAGAGGGTGTTGCGCTACTTGTGCAGTACGTCGGGCATGGGGCTAGTGCTTGGAGGGCGGAGTCCAGTGGTCCTCACTGGGCATGCGGACGCCTCTTGGGCTGACGACCAGGCTACGCAGCGGTCGTCATAGGGTTACACTTTCAGTCTTGGTTCCAGCTCTGTTTCGTGGCGGGCTACCCGCTCGTCTTCTGTTCTCGGCTCCAATTGTGAGGCTGAGATCTACGCCGGGGATATGGCTGCCCAGGAGCTTCGCTGGCTCACCTACCTGCTGACCGACCTTGGAGAGCCGCCTCGTTCTCCTCCAGTCCTGTACGTAGACAACAAGGCCATGCTGGCCTTGTGTCGAGAGCAGCGACTGGAGCACAGAACAAAGCACATTGCTCTCCGCTACTTTCTTGCTCGTGAGCTAGAGCAGCGTGGACAGTTGCGGCTTGCGTACGTGGCCTTTGAGGCCAACACTGCTGATGTCTTCACCAAGGCACTTGCGCCTTGTGATCATCAGCGCTTCTGCACTCAGCTGGGTCTTGTGCCTGTCTTGCCTCACTTGCTCACTTCTTGACCTTGCTTGTACTGTCACATATATATACTCTTGCTCTTGCTTGCTTAGCCTCTTGTATATGTATATATGTGATCTTGCATGTGAACTGGCCTTGTGGCCTTTGAACTTGTGCTCGGAATGTGTGGTGACTTTGTGATCCACCCTGAGCTTTGCTTTGCTTTGCTTGACTGTTCTTGTGACCCCTTGTTCTCCCCCAATTAGCCTATGGGGGTGTGTCAAAACATTATAGCTTATATATTTGTGTAGGCTATACTGGGGTATCCCATAGGGGGTACAACCCAATCAGGGTTTCCTATATGTACTCACTTCATTCATAGTTCATTCATCCTCGTTCTAGTTTCTTCCACAGCTTGGTCCCTTCCTCCCTCCCCACTAGACCCCCACCCACCGACCAGCCGCTCTCACCCAACCCCAACCCAGTCAGTTCATTTTATTCATCCAGTTTTCCTCCTCGTGGTCCCGTCTAGGGTTTGCAGACCACGCCTTCCTGCTGCTATTATAACCATAGCTCCAGCATCTACCTCCAAGTCCCTCGTCATAGCTGTTGTCACCAGCGGTGAGGATGACGACGAGGCTCATCGTCAGGTCCTGCACTCACCCTCATGAAAGGGCCTTAGCTTTTTTACAGTGCCTTATAAGCGACTGCTTGAACCAGAGCCCGGCGTTGCCTCTACTGAGGCTGAGACCGCGCTGGCTGAAGCGGGGCGTGACATGCACCTCGACGCCTGAACTGACACCACGAAAAGCACAACACATGTAATGGAGAATACCGCAGCTGCTCTCAACTGTGCTGCCAAGAAGCTGAAATCTGGTTCGTGTTCGGCACGGCAGAAGTGGCGGCAGCAACCTAAGTCGAGTTTCACTCGCGGGGCTCATGCATACGGTAGCAATGTTCAATGCTGGCAAGAAGGGCCGCCCTGCTCAAGAGTTCCTAGACTGTATTAACTTGTGCTGACAGCTAAGCTTATTCTGTTAGAACCAGGCACTGATGCTTTAGTTGCTCTGTTAGTTAGTGCCATCTTTAAAACCGAAATATAAAATAGTGAAGGCGGATCCAACTTGAAATCATGCTCGGAAGAAGCAAAACTGGAACGACGATGGGCTGTGTAAAACACTCTTTCGGGCATCGCCCTTCCACAGACTGAATACACGTGATTCGTTCCCGCAAAGAAAAAAAATCAGATCGTGCTCGCGCGTTCGCATTTTCTGCATGCGACATTTACACGACAGTTGTTTGTCGTGCGTTTTGATGGTTGGACCTGACTTCGACTTTCAAGCTGGGCCTGGGTTCCACATATGCTTACTTCAACTCCATTCACGTAGCTTGCCTAACTCACGGGGCTTGCCTAGCATAGAATAGCCAGAGACGAGGGATTAGGCTGATGCGGCATAGAAATGAAATCATCATTAGATTGTTTGTGATACTTGGTCGCCGTTGCTGCGTAGTGATATTTTCCTCGCGATCACAGAGAACCCCATTCCCGTCGCCATTCCTCTCACCCCTCTCATCGCCCACTATGCTATCCTCGAGTTCGCCAAATCGCCCACCCGTCTCCCTTTCCGTCGCGCGTCACGTCGCCATCTCGTTGCCCGTCCCGTCGCCCTCTTCGTCGCCCTCTCTCCCCTCCTCTCCTCCCGTTGGCCTCTCTCTCGCCCCTCCCTACCGATCGCCCTCCCGTCGCTCGCCCCGTCTCGCTCTCTCTCTCTCTCTCCGCTCCCTTCCCGTCGCCCTCTTTCTCGCTCCTCCCTTCCCGTCGCGCTCTCTCTCTCCGCGCCCTTCCCGTCGCCCTCTCTCTCGCCCCTCCCTTCCCATCGCTCTCTCTCTCTCTCTCTCCGCTCCCTTCCCGTCAGCCTCTCTCTCCGCTCCCTTCTCGTCGCGCTCTCTCTCTCCGCTCCCTTCCCCTCGCCCTCTCTCTCGCCCCTCCCTTCCCGTCGCGCTCTCTCTCTCCACTCCCTTCCCGTCGCCCTCTCTCTCGCCCCTCCCTTCCCGTCGCGCTCTCTCTCTCCGCTCCCTTCCCATCGCCCTCTCTCTCGCCCCTCCCTTCCCGTCGTGATCTCTCTCTTCGCTCCCTTCCCGTCGCCCTCTCTCTCTCCCCTCCTACCCGTCGCGCTCTCTCTCTCCGCGCCCTTCCTGTCGCCCTCTCTCTCGCCCCTCCCTTCCCATCGCGTTCTCTCTCTCCGCTCCGCCTCCTCTCTCGCTCCTCCCTTCGGATCGCGCTCTCTCTCCGCTCCCTTCCCGACGCGCTCTCTCTCTTCGCTCCCTTCCCATTGCCCTCTCTCTTTCTGCTCCCTTCCCATCCTCCCTTCTCGCTCGCCTCGAATAGCCCTCACAGCAACCTTCGACTCTCCCATCACGTATGCCCTCCTTTCTCCGTCGCCTCTCTCGTTCTCCCTCTGCTATCGCGTCAGCGTGACCCATTCCGTACTCTGTTATTGTGTTTGGTTTGTTTGTTTTTTCTGTCTTTCCATCTATTCTCGACACCCTCTCTCCCGCCGCCTATCCTCTCTCCCGTCGCCCTCCCGTTTCCCGTCGCCCTCCCGTTTCCCGTCCCCCTCCCGTTTCCTGTCGCCCTCCCTTTTCCCATCGCCCTCCCGTTTCCCGTCGCCCTCGCGTTTCCCGTCGCCCTCGCGTTTCCCGTCGCCCTCCCGTTTCCCGTCGCCCTCCCTTCTTCCGTCGCCCTCCCTTTTCCCGTCGCCCTCACGTTTCCCGTCGCCCTCCCGTTTCCTGTCGCCCTCCCGTTTTCCGTCGCCCTCCCGTTTCCCGTCGCCCTCCCGTTTCCCGTCGCCCTCGCGTTTCCCGTCGCCCTCCCGTTTCCCGTCGCCCTCCCGTTTCCCGTCGCCCCCCTTCTTCCGTCGCCCTCCCGTTTCCTACGCCCTCCCTTCCCGTCACCCTCCCGTTTCCTGTCGCCCTCCCTCTTTCTCTTCATTCGTGCCACCTTGCCCATCATAATTTCCCCCCTAGTGCTGTTTTTCTCTTCTGTTTCCCGTTATTGCACCTCTCCCAGGCCTCAAGTCCAAGGCAGCACATTGATCAGAGCTCTACTAGCTCTAATAATGTTCGAACACTTTCACTCTCATCACGTACATGTGTGCCTGCTTGGGATTTAGCGTGAGATGTTGCTAGTTGTGAATTTGGTGAAGTATTGGTTCTAGTGAATGCAGGAGTGCTCATCGCTCAACTTTGCGCCAAATTCGCACATGTACATGTGAGAGAACCTGGCTGCCAATCAGAATTGACAATGAACTATCGTTCCTGGTCCAATAAGAAACTCGTCTGAGGGTCGGAAAAAAAAGCACACATACACCAATTCCAACATTCCAAAACAAAACAAAAATACTTCATCTTCAAGTGGACCCAACTAGAAGGGGGGGGGTCACTATCTTGCCTGCTGGCTTTAATATGTAATCCACGCTTAAGTCTAAACATGAAAGGGTGAAAACAATGTGCACACTGATGAGCAAGAGTACCTTTCCAACTGACACTGATAAAAAAGACTGACATGGCTGACCCACCCTTACTGAAAGACCAACTTCAGCGAACTGGCCTTGCGAGTAAGAGTGCCCCAAATCCTATCCAGAGGCCTGCAGACAACACACGCCACACACAAAATCGGCCTGGCAGGGAAGCCCGAAAGGAAAAATACAACTCATAGAAAACATGGACGTTGTTCGGGAGGGATCAACCCTAAACACGGGAACGTCCTGGTGTTTAGGGTTGATGTCTCTTAAGGCAGTGGGACAAAAAATCTAGGGAACCTGGACTCATTTTTCAGAAGGGATCAACCCTAAACACGGGAACTGCCCTCGTGTTTAGGGTTGATTCCTCCCGAGTCGCATGCGTTTCCAATTGGGTTTTATATTTTTTTGCCCGTTTTTGTCAGGCGCGTTGCGATATGTATTGACCTTGTTCGCAGTAATTTTCGTGCGACTGGTGTGGTTGGACGACGAATTCGTGCGAGAGCTGCGCCAGTTACTATCAGTCAGGTTGTAGCATCACCTGACAGAACAGTAGTTTTCGTGGCGGAGGTGTACATACAGTAATAACAGAGGCTGAAAAACGACAGGATAGCATGCACCTGAATAGCGCACTTCGACTAAGTTGCATGCACCTGAAATTGGCCGAACATATTTTGATTGTATGTTGAATCAGGTTCTCTATAGACTGTATGTTGTCGTTCTCCGTGCTGGTAGGATGTAACAGCTGCAGTGACTGGGCATTTCGGGTAGAGAGAGGCCACGTCTCGCTGTCCAATGAGGTTCAAATTATGACCCATCAACCAATCACTGGGCTCCACTAGAAAACTTTAGCATTGCTTCACGTTTGTAGTGTCTGATATGCTTCGATAGAACCGTCGATTCTTCAGGAAGATGCTTTCACCACGTTGATCGAAGGGCGGAGGTCCATCAATCAGTCCTAGCTTCTGGAAGAATCCGTTCGGCTGGTTGGTCACACACACATCTCTCACAGAATTTTTCCAGAATTCTACACCTGCTGAATCCTGATCATTCCAAGGCTTCCGTAACCAAGTTTCAGAAAGCCAATCTCCAATCTCCAGCACCAAGTAGATCAGTGGTGAAGTTGCAGCATCCAGCCAAGCATAGTGCAGGACGGCGGCTTGTTGAAGTGTAGGAGCCTGAAAGTAGCCAGATAGACTCGGCTTCTCCGTGCTTTTTGTCTGTTGATCTGGACCAGTGACCGTAGATCATGGCACGGTCGACGGTTCTTGCGCTCCTAGCGCTCGTCCTCATCACCACCCAGTCTTGCCTTGCCGTAAGTTGAAAATACTCCTCGGCTGTCTGGTGTGTTGGCGGGTAGATCTTGCGGACAAATTGTCTTTACCGCATTTAGTATCATTCGATTCTGGATGCCAAATGTCCGTACTCCTCTCTCCCATCTCGATCCATGCAGGTGGAATTCTTTGAGACGTTTGACGAGGATTACGCTGGTCGCTGGGTCGTCTCTAGCAGCGCAGACTACACGGGTAAGTCTAAGATTTTCCGCCTCGATTTGCTGCAGTTCATGTGACTAGATTTCCAAAATGAGCACCCATGAACCGTATCTGCACATTTAATGTTTATCCTGAACAACCTGAGAATTCATGTTTCCATTATTTTACTTGCTCAGGCAAATGGAAATGGGCTGCCGGCGAAGCTTCGGGCGATTACGGGTTGCTGGTAACCGAGAAGGCGAAGAAGTACGGCATCGCAGCGGAGCTCCCTGAGCCCGTGGATCCGAAGAAGGACACCCTGGTGCTGCAGTACGACGTGCGCCTGCAGAACAACCTCGAGTGCGGCGGATCGTATCTCAAGTTCCTCATGCCGCAGGTACTGCAATTGAAACTAAATATGCAGGCCTAATTGGGGAAATATTCTGAAAGTGCTTCGTTCTTGCCTTTCGACCTGATTCGACATCTCTCTTCGCTCTTTCTGTATAGTCTCTTCTGACCCTCTGATCCATCCTGCCTACTTGCTCCACCGTGCTTGTGTCTTCCCAATCTGTCGTCCCCCTGGGACCAATCAGACCGCGGGCTGGACTCCGAGCCAATTCAAGGACGACTCGCCTTACTCAATCATGTTCGGACCCGACAAGTGCGGCTCCACGAATAAAGTACACTTTATTTTCCGCCACAAGTCGCCCAAGACGGGCGAGTACGTGGAGCACCACATGAAGAAGCCCGCGTCGCCCTACACATTCGACAAGCTCAGCCACGTGTACACGGCAATCGTGTATCCCAACAACACGGTTGAAATTCTGATCGACGGCGAGAAGAAGGCGGAGGGCGATCTGCTCTCCGGGAAGGATTTCCAGCCGCCCGTGCTGCCGCCGAAGACGATCCCGGATCCCGAGGATAAGAAGCCCGATGATTGGTGAGTTGAGAGCGACGAATGGTGGGTTGAGAACGTACGTTCAGTGGAGATGTTGGAAAGATATGTTAGTTATTTTTTGCGCACTTCACATGAGTAAATCAATTTTCTGAACGGCACGCGCCCGCGATTCCCGCTACCCGTGGTGACCTTATGACTTGAGGTGGCTTTTGAGTCGACTCCAATGTCTGTTGATTTGCACGCACTTCACATGAAAATCTCGTAATTACTGAATGATGCTCCACATGGAGAACTCCTAATTACTGCATGATACTCCACTTCACACATGAATGTCGACTCATAATTACTCCAATGTCGATTCCTGCGACGCGTGGTGTGCGTGCCTGCAGGGACGAGCGCGCCAAGATCAAGGACCCCGAGGCGACCAAGCCGGACGACTGGGACGAGGACGCTCCCCGCGAGATCCCCGACGAGGACGCCGCCAAGCCCGAGGGGTGGCTGGACGATGAGCCTGAGGAGGTGAGCGGGTGGTGGATGACTGGAGAGTGGAGTCTGAGAGGTGGCTTGTTTATGAGGGTGGGTCTGAGGTGCCGTGTGACAAGCCGGACATCTGGGACGAGCACGCGCTCCGCGCGAAATTCCCGACGAGGACGCCTCCAAGCCCGAGGGGTGGCTGGACGATGAGCCTGAGGAGGTGAGCGGGAGAAGGGTTGCTTTTTACAGGTGAATTTGTGGCGGGATGTTGGGTCGTAAGAGTTGTCTGTCAGGCCCTAGGGCCGGCTGGACGGTTAACCCGTGGAGGCCGATATGTCGTAAGAGGCAATTGGTCGTGTGTAATTCAACCAAATTGTGAAGGTCAAGGGAAGTTTGTACGTGCGATGAGCCGAGGAAGCTGGTGGCTGATCGATTCTTAGGAACGGATTAAAAGTGTCAAAAGAGAATTGGACTTGTAACAATGCGAAGGGTGGGCTGGGTGGCCTAGTCCAAGGACGAGGTGACACTGCCCAATCCCATCGTTCCCTCCCCCCCTCCCCCCCCCCCCCCCCAACCCCACACTGTCCTCCGTTTCCCCTGGATTCCTGGAACAGGCTACGATACCCGATTTCTATCGCCTCCTTCCAACCTCCCACAGAATCCTATTGTAGAGAATGAGGAGGGTAACGACGCCCATTACCACCGCCTGCACTAACCAGATCCTATGCAATCATCTCTCCTTCCTCGCTTCAACAGGTTGATGATCCCGAGGCGAAGAAGCCCGAGGACTGGGACGAGGAGGAGGACGGCGAGTGGGAGCCGCCCAAAACCCCGAACCCCAAGTGCGAGGAGGCGCCCGGGTGCGGTGAGTGGAAGCGGCCAATGAAGCGCAACCCCGCGTACAAGGGCAAGTGGACGGCGCCGCTCATCGACAACCCCGCGTACAAGGGCGTGTGGAAGGCTCGGGATATTCCCAACCCGGACTACTTCCACCTGGATCGGCCGAACCTGGAGAGCGTCGCTGCTGTGGGCATTGAAATCTGGACAATGTCGGTGCGTGCCAGGGCGCGGGGGGGTTGGGGGAAGTGAAGTGGCTGGATGTAGGTGAGTGAAGAGATGAGATGTGGTGGGGTTAGGAGTAGATGGAAGTGGAAGCGGCCGTACAAGCGCAACCCCGCGTACAAGCGAAAGGACGTGAAAGAACGAGGTTATGTCATTTGCACAAGACAAGAGTGTCGCTGGGAAGGGTGCAAACATAGTAGTTGTCTCTCTGGAGAATTCTCCCCCCATCTCTTTTCTTCCCCTGTCCATCACGGGGAGACCGCTTCCTAGTTTGACAAGAGACGCGTTTGCACTTGGGTCCAACTCATCCCCCAACCCGCCCATCCAGCCATCCACACCGGCCAATCCACCCACCCACCCATCCACTGAGGACGGCCGAAGGGCTGCAGCGCACGGTGGAGGAGCGGGATAGGATGGTCGAGGGGCTGCAACCCCTCAAGCCTCTCGACCGTCCTGTCCCGCTCCTGCACCATGCGCTGCAGCCCCTCGACCGTCCTCTCCCGCCTTCCACTCAGCCTCCCGCCCATCCATATCCACTCATTTAACCATCCCCCCCGTCTGCCCACCCACCTGCCCATCTACCCATCCACGTTTATGCAACCCCACCTATGCCAACCCATCCCTCCCCCCATCCAACCCCACCAGGACGGAATTCTCTTTGACAACATCCTCGTTACAAGCGACCCTGCTGTAGCAGAGATGTACCGGAGGGAGCGATGGGCGACCAAGTTCGCCAAGGAGAAGGAGGCGGAGCAGAAGAAGCGCGAGGAGGAGGACGCTAAGCTCAAGAAGGAGTCCGCTGGCAAGGGCGGATGGGAGGTGAGTTGGAGACGGGTCGTAGTTGGCTGGGGGATAGATGTGGTATGGGTGGGGATTGTATGGGAAGAGCAGGCGAATTGCTGGAGGAGGACGCTAAGCTCAGGAAGGAGTCCACTGGAAAGGGTGGATGGGAGGTGAGTGCGTGGTTTGAGACCAGCTGAGGGATGGGAAAGGCGGGTGGGAGGCGAGTGTGTTCTGTGAGGCTGGCGGGATGTGAGGCTGGGGGGATGTGAGTGAGACCAACCAGGGTCTCGTGGTCAATGGCAGAGCAAGCTGTTGGCAATTCTCCACGAGGAGGTACCTCAAATCCCCCTCTTCACCACTGCATCCCTCTGAACCGCACTGCAACATCCTCACCTCCACTGCAACCCTCTCAACCCCACTGCAACCCCCTGTGTCTTCCCCACAACAGGGCAAGCTGTTTGAGACGCTCCACAAGATTGCAGACGCGCCTCCTCTCACGCCTGTCCGCCCCCAGCTCAAGGTGCGCTGCTTGCTACCCCCTCTCGCCCTGCTCCATCACTTCCTCTTCCAACCCCTCTCCAACCCTCTCCACCCCTTCCTCTCTCTCCCGTCGTTCACTCTCCCTCTCTCTTACCCTTCACCCTTCCCCTCTCCCCCCCATCACCCTCTCTCGCTCCCGCCCCTACACCCTCCCTCTTCCCCACTTCTTCACCCTCCCTCTCGCTCATCCCGAACCCCCCCTCTCTCCTCTCGCTGTCTCATAACTGTTGTTTCCTGTTCCCAAGAACGCACCTCCTTTTTCTTCCCACTTTCCCCCCTCTTGTCTCCTTGCTCCCCAGGCCATCCTAGCAGAGGCAGCCAAGTACCCGTACGCAGCAGTGGGCATCATCATCCTCATCCCCCTCGTGCCCTTCCTGCTCCTCGTCTCTGTGCTGCTCTCCTCACCTAAGCGGCCGGCAGGGCAGGTGAGCACAGAACGAGAGGGCTATGGGAGGAAGTGGGACACAGGTTTTGAGGGTTGACTTTTGAGTTGACTCAAAAGTCACCTAGTCGACTCAAAAGTCACCTCTATTGAGTCGACTCAAAAGTCAGGGCAGGTGAGCACAGATCTAGAGGGCTATGGGAGGAAGTGGGACACAGGTGTTGAGGGTTGGGGAATGGGAGGAGACGAGATGTCGGACACAGGTGTCGGGTGTTGGGGGCATGGGAGGAGCAGGGCTTGTGTTGCATATGAGGTGAAGTGAGCTCAGGGCTAGCACATGGGTCGAGGGTGAGCGGTTTTTGAGGCACCCCAAAAATCGCTCAGGACTTGCGCATGGGTGCAGATGAGCTCATGGGTGGAGGTGAGCGCATGGGTTGTGTTGTGTCATGTCAGTGTGTGAGCCGAAGGGCAGTCCAGGGAGCCAGGCTGCTGAGTCATGACGATGCCATTCTCATGGTGTCATGTCAGTGACCATCAGGGGTATTCAGTGTCCATGTGTAAATAGAGCTCTGCAACAGAGTAAGTTCCTTTCTGTTATTTTGGGCAATTCTCCGAAGTGGTAACATAGTGAGTGATTCAATTAGGTCATGTCAGTGTGTCTGAATGTACACGGAACATTGGGTGGCAGTTGAGATGGCAGGTGAGGCGGAGTGTGAGGTTACTAGCAGTTACAGGAGGTCTAGAACGGATAGAAGAGAGCTTTTCACTGCTGCTGCTGCTGCTCCTCTGTGCTGCGTTTTTTCCATACTCTCTCTTCCTCCTTTTGTCGTACCCCTAAGGCGTCCCTTGTCTCTGCTTGTTTTCCTGGTTGTCTCTTCCTTGTTTCCTGCTGTGCCTGTTCCGAGCAGGTCTCAGTAGAGAGGGCCAAGAAGGAGGACATTACCGCACCTGATGATGTTCCAGAGGAGAGCAAAGAGGAGCCAAAGGAGGAGGCCAAGGAGGAGGCTGAGGCTGATGCAGCAGATCAGCCAAACGAGGGCACCACCGAGCTTGCGAAAGCAGAGGAGCCCGCCGAGCCTGCAGCTTCGGAACCCCAGCCTGCGGGTGTGGAGGAAGAGGCGAATGAGGGGGGTGAGACCAAGGTGAGGCGGCGCACACGTAGGGATTGAAACAGGGGAGGGAATGGAGCAGCTTTAAAGTGGCTTGGAGAGAGCCGGACTTTTTTTGTTATCTCACAGCGAGTAGGAGGCACGCGTGTTGTGTGTAGAGATTTACCTAATGGATGAAGCGGCTGAGGGGTGGCTGGACTGGTACCTACACTTCAGTGCTGCAATTCCAGTCTATTTTGCATATAACATTATAGATGGAAACCTCCACAACATTTTTAGGCCATTAGACTGTTGGTTGGTGGTGTTTTTGTAGAACTGTTATGGTATGGTTGGCAGCACAACCATAACGTCATTGTTTAGCCAAATCTACCTATAATACGTTTTTGGCTGGTGTCTAGCTTTGGGCGAAGCTACAGTAGTTGACACGAGGTGAAATTGACGGGTATGAGAAATATTTATTTTGTGTCAGACGTTCCTGGAGGAGTCTGACACCAGGCAAACTTGCCCCGAAGCTAGACTCCAGCCAAGAACGTACCCATACATACGAATCAAAAAGCGGCAAATTACTAGGCACAGGAGGGTCAGGCCGTCTGTCCAATCTAACGCATGCGTGAGAAATCTTGAATCAGTAAATTCCAGCCCCTAAGCAACTCAGTCGACAGGAACAGTACAAGTACGGTATCTTGCGAGTTACTGAGAAAAACCATCAATTTGTGGGTTTTTGGATCGATAAGCACCGGTTGATAAGAGGCTGTCCAGTCAGTCCATGGGCACGGCAGGGTCGGGCTGGCCTATCTTGTTGGGTCGCACTATGACCACCGGCATGGGGCAGTGGTGCGCACAGTACTCACTCACACTGCCCAGCACCAGCCTGCAGGTTCGATGGAGGGAGGGAGGGAGTTGGCGCATGGGAAGAGAGGTGGTTAGGGGTGGGAGGTACAAGAGGGGAAAAGGGGGTTAGCAAGTTGAGCAGCATACAGCATGGGGCAGTGGTGCGGACAGCACTCACTCACACTTCCCATCACCCGCCTGCCTGTAGGTTGGGTGGAGGGAGTTAAGGGGAAAATGGGGATTGGAGAGAGGTGTGCAGGGGTAGAGAAGCATACAGCACGAGGCAGAGTGGTGGTGCGCGCGCACAGCACTCACTCACACTGTGCACCGAGCGATGCCTGCTGCTGCATGTGTGTGAGTGAGTACAGCCATCCTAAACGGCAGACTCTGTGAGATTACCATGCCAGCTCCAACGCGCCTCTTGAGAGCCCCATCCCATGCCCCACGCGCCCGGGCACTGGAAATCATACCTGCCCCCTTCAACGCACCTCTTGAGAGCCCCGTGCCCACGGCTCCCCACCACCACGGCACCTGCTTTGGCCTACTCTGCTGCCTGTCTAACACACACGACTTGAGAATACCTGTCCCCAAAATGCTCTCACCTCTTGAGAGCCCCGTGCCCACGGCTCCCCACCACCACCGCATCCGCCTTGGCCTGTTCCGCTGCCTCAGATATCGACAGCCTGGCATCCCCGATCATGACACGCGTCTCGCACAGCAGCTGCCACGTCAGCACAGAAGAGGATGCAGGGGTTGGGGGAGAATGCATTGAGAAAAGAGGGAGCAGAAGGGCGGAGCATGCATCCGAGTGCTCATCATTTACAAATTACATCAGCAGCTCACTGCTCGCTCCCAGAAAACCTCTTGAGTCGACTCAAAAGTCATTTTGAGTCGACTCAAGAGCTAAGCATGCATCCGAGTGCTCATCATTTACAAATTACACCAGCAGCTCACTATTCGCTCCCTATACACCTCTCCTTACCTTGCACGTTGACTTTTGAGTCGACTTAAAAGTCAACTCCCAGTAAGCCTCTCCTCACATGGCGCGCCTCGCACTGCGCCTTGTACTTCTCCAGCAGCTTGTTGTATCCGGCTTCCTCACGCCCTTATCTCGCGCCCTCACGCATAGCCACTCCTCACATGGGTGTTATCTTTCCCTCACCTGCCGTGCCTCGCACTGCGCCTTGTACTTCTCCAGCAGCTTGTACCCGGCATCCTTTGCTCTTATTCATAGTCGCTCCAAACCTAATTCTCACCATTCACTCCCAGCTGACTCTCCCTCACCTGCCGCGCCTCGCACTGCGCATTGTACTTCTCACCTGCCGCGCCTCGCACTGCGCATTGTACTTCTCACCTGCCGCGCCTCGCACTGCGCATTGTACTTCTCACCTGCCGCGCCTCGCACTGCGCATTGTACTTCTCACCTGCCGCGCCTCGCACTGCGCATTGTACTTCTCACCTGCCGCGCCTCGCACTGCGCATTGTACTTCTCACCTGCCGCGCCTCGCACTGCGCATTGTACTTCTCACCTGCCGCGCCTCGCACTGCGCATTGTACTTCTCACCTGCCGCGCCTCGCACTGCGCATTGTACTTCTCACCTGCCGCGCCTCGCACTGCGCCTTGTACTTCTCCAGCAGCTTGTACCCGACGTCCTTCTTCCTCTGCGTGTCCGCCTGGATCTCCCCCTGGGACACGTGGAAGCCTGTGATTGGTGTGGGGGAAAAAGGGGGAACGGGCAGCAAGGTGGGAAAGAGAAGAAGGGCTCAGCTGTCAGGCAGAGAAACAAGGGAAGGGAGAGATTGTGGGAAGGGAGGAGAGTGAAGTATTGTCTTACCTGGCCGGGAAGTATTGTCTTACCTGGCCAGGAAGTATTGTCTTACCTGGCCGAGAAGTATTGTCTTACCTGGCTGGGAAGTATTGTCTTACCTGGCCGGGAAGTAGGGGCTGCTGAGTAGGATTGGGTGTTGACGAGAACGATGGTGTCGCGACCTGCACAAGGGGGAGGGCGGGCAGCAGCAGCAGAGGAGGAAAATTGCGAGCGAGTTTTGAGAATTCTCAAACATCACTCGTGAGAATTCTCAAACATCACTCGTGAGAATTCTCAAACATCACTTGTGAGAATTCTCAAACATCACTTGTGAGAATTCTCAAACATCACTCGTGAGAATTCTCAAACATCACTCGTGAGAATTCTCAAACATCACTCGTGAGAATTCTCAAACATCACTCGTGAGAATTCTCAAACATCACTCGTGAGAATTCTCAAACATCACTCGTGAGAGTTCTCAAACATCACTCGTGAGAATTCTCAAACATCACTCGTGAGAATTCTCAAACATCACTCGTGAGAATTCTCAAACATCACTCGTGAGAATTCTCAAACATCACTCGTGAGAATTCTCAAACATCACTCGTGAGAATTCTCAAACATCTCTCGTGAGAATTCGCAAACATCACTCGTGAGAATTCGCAAAAATCACTCGTGAGAATTCTCAAACATCACTCGTGAGAATTCTCAAACATCACTCGCAGCAGAGGAGGAAAATTGTTTTCAGCTGCTAAGGAAGGGGGAAGTGGAGTAGGAGCGACTTTTGAGGCGCCTCAAAAGTCAGCGAGGAGGAGCGAACAGACATGAGGGCAGGTGGAAGCAGGAAGGATGGGTGGAGTGGAGGGTAGGAGCGAAATGAGGAGGTCGCTCGGACGGTGGAGGGGGACGAAACAGAACAGAGCGACCTCGAAACGTAGAAAGAACGGAATGACAGCATCTGACGCCCACGCGTTTGAACCCCACATTCCCCTGACCCCCATTCCCCTGACCTGCGTTCCCCTGACCAACATTCGCCCAACACCCATTCGCCTGACACCCACCCCCCTGGCACGAACCGGGTTGCAGCTGCATGTTATCGAGTGCCCATTGGAGCGCCTCGGTGCTGCCCGTCGAGTCGTCGATCGCAACCACGATGCGCCGCGGCGGCGTTCCCGACGCCGACATGTCTTAAACTACGCGGTCTTCCTGACACCGCCTTAGAGGCTAAATGCGCGGCCTTCGTGTGTAACTGTTTGCTTCTCTACAATGCCTACTAATGTTCAGGTTAGATAACAATGGCTAGGCACTCACCCGATGCGTACGCGCACAGAATGAAAAAGAAAAGGCGTTGGTCAGCAAAGTAGGTGAATGAAGTAGTAACACTAACGGCTGTTCAGAATAATGCGTCGGCAATGAGCAATAAGATAAAATTTAGGTCTGATGGTTGCTCGAATAGAGCAACTACTACTGTGCGGGAACACAACGCAACACGCTGATGGGAAGCAGTTGAGCAAGGAGAGACGAATCAGGACGTGTACGGAGGGGACGGTTCACCTGAAAGAGAGGGACTGACGTGAATTTTCGGGATTGAGAAAACCTTGGAATTGTTAGTTGCAGTCTTGGGACGTTTCTTGAACCAGCTAACTGGTGTAAGGGGTGTCCAGCTCGTTCATTTACTGTTTGTAAAGTCTTCAGTTACCACATTTTGCGTTGTAACACTAATTTTTACAAAAATGCCAGACACGATCGGCTCCCGTTCAAGATACGGCACACCCCCTGCACGTACCTCGAATCGTGTGACGCACGCCACAGGAATCAGTGTGCTCATCGAACAATGGTACAGAACCGCGTCCTGCCCACTACAGTCAGTGCCTATTGTATCGCGCGCTCAATTTCGCCTGCGCCGCCTGACACTCGCCAAAACCAGTAGAGGAAAAGTTGGCTTGGCGAAAATTCCAACGCTTGGATTGACGAGAAAACCGGTATCTTGGTTTCCACACGGCCCCTGCACTGTTGAAGTCTGTTTGGGGGGAACTTGTCCGCGCGCTAGAATTGACAAAAACGGTGGACTTGACGCAGGGCGAATTCGTTTTTAGGTACAGTGATTAGTTTTGAACCCCGGATCGTGAGGCGGTGCTAAATTTCCAAAATGAACGAGCTGGACACCCCCTAGAGAAAGAGATGGTCCGTCCGTCAGGGGATCACGTCCCTTCACAAGCAGGGGCTGTAAAAGCACCACTGGCCCATACAGGTTTCGAACCTGTGACCTTCGCGTTATTAGCACGACGCTCTAACCAACTGAGCTAATGGGCCGATGTACTCAAGTCTAGCTAAATTTATCTATATTTATTTTATGTCAAATATATGAATTTGCGCGGCAACGTTTGAATCCCAAACGCCAGCGCTGACGCTGGTTCTACCCCACAAACAAACCGAAGGCGACATCGAGCCTTCACTTCCTCGAGTCACTTCAATTCAGTCATCTTTCCCTCCTCATTCCTACTATTCCAACTCGTCGCCTTTCCATTCCCTCGTCTTTCCACACCCCTGTCGTTAGTTCTTAACGTTTGCCTTTCGGAGGCTCCCTGGCCTCGCTGTTGACTCGCCATTCAGACCCGCTTTATCGCCTCCACCCACGACTAAATCAGAGCGTGTTATTCCGATCGACAGAGAGACTTCTCTTGATTCAACCAGGTCCTCTCTCCGTCAACCCTTTTCCCGCTCTCGCGATCGTTGTTAGCGGCATTCATCCATCAATCGGAAGCGAAGTAGGATCTTCGAGTTCTAGGGAATTCAAGTTTCGTTCTCAGACTTCCTTTTAGGAAAAACGGAACTAAGAGACACTTTTAGGTTCTGAGAGCGGGCGGAATGGCGCGGGAGGAGGAGGAGTATCCGGACGAGGGGGAGGAGCGGGTGATAAACGAGGAGTATAAGATCTGGAAGAAGAACACGCCGTTCCTCTACGACCTCGTCATCACGCACGCGCTCGAATGGCCGTCGCTCACCGTGCAATGGATGCCAGGTGGGATATGGATGCCACGTGTGATGTTTACAGCCTGCCACGTGTCATCTGGAAGAAGAACACGCCGTTCCTCTACGACCTCGTCATCACGCACGCGCTCGAATGGCCGTCGCTCACCGTGCAATGGATGCCAGGTGTGATGGTGTCTCGGCCAGATAATGCCACGTGTTCCCCCCTCCATTCGCGCTCGATTGATCGTCTCTCATTGTGCACTGGATGCCACGTGTGTCCCCAGATGATACCACGTGCGTTGACGTCCGGTCTTGGTCGGCCTCCGTTCTCCGCCATTCCCCACCGCCCCCTTCCGATCTCTCAGCAACGCGCTGCAAACTACGGGACATGACATGACTTGAAACAGTCTTTTCCCGCGTTTCCGTACTACCCCATTCCCCTCGCTCCCCTTGCAGAGCGGCAGGAGCCAGCGGGAAAGGATTACTCTGTGCAACGGATGGTGCTGGGTACGCGCACGTCGGACAACGAGCAGAACTACCTCATGCTCGTCGACGTGCAACTGCCTCACCCTTACTCACCCCCTCCTCAACCCTCTCCCCGCCCCTCCCCGCCCCTCTCCTCCCCTGTGCTGCTTCTTACACAGAGCGGCAAGAGTCAGCGGGAAAGGATTATTCAGTGCAGCGCATGGTGCTGGGAACGCACACGTCGGACAACGAGCAGAACTACCTCATGCTCGTGGACGTGCAGCTGCCTCACTCTGCCTCACCTCTCCCCACCCCTCCCCGCCCCTCTCCGCCCCTCTCCGCCCCTGTCCCGCTTCTTACACAGAGCGACAAGAGCCGGCAGGGAAGGACTATTCGGTGCAACGGATGGTGCTGGGAACGCACACGTCGGACAACGAGCAGAACTACCTCATGCTCGTGGACGTGCAACTGCCTCTCGATGACTCAAAACCACTCTCTGCTCCAATCCATTCTCTCTCTCGCCCCGACCCCTCCCCCACACAGAACGGCAGGAACCAGCAGGGAAGGATTACTCGGTGCAACGGATGGTGCTGGGAACGCACACGTCGGACAACGAGCAGAACTACCTCATGCTCGTGGACGTGCAGCTGCCCCTGGACGACACCGAGACGGACGCGCGCCAGTATGATGAGCAGCGCAGTGACGTTGGGGGATTTGGTGCTGGGTGCGCCAAGGTAGGAGGGGGAAGGGGGTGGGGTTGGGTGGGTTGGGGGGGGGAGGGGAGGGAATGGGTGTGGCAAGATGGGAGTGGGGAGACGGGGAGGAGGGGCAAATGGGGTGAAAAAGGGGGGCAAACGAGCAGAACTACCTCATGCTCGTGGACGTGCAGCTGCCTCTGGATGACTCGGAGACGGACGCGCGGCAGTATGATGAGCAGCGCAGTGACGTGGGGGGAATTCGGTGCTGGGTGCGCCAAGGTGGGAAGGGGGGGAAGGGGATGTAGTGGGAGGGGGGAGGTGGGGGATGGGAGAGGGCGGACGTGCAGTTGCCTCTGGACGACACAGAGACGGACGCCCGGCAGTACGACGAGCAGAACTACCTCATGCTCGTGGACGTGCAACTGCCTCTGGACGACACAGAGACGGACGCCCAGCAGTACGACGAGCAGAGGAGCGACATTGGCGGGTTCGGTGCTGGGAGCGCCAAGGTGGGAAGGGGGGAAGGGTGCGTGGGGAGACGGGTAGGAGGGGCAGGGGGGGCAAACGAGCAGAACTACCTCATGCCCGTGGACGTGCGACTGCCTCTGGACGACTCAGAGACGGACGCGCGGCAGTACGGCGAGCAGAGGAGCGACGTTGGCGGGTTCGGTGCTGGGTGCGCCAAGGTGGGGAGGAGGAGGGGGAGGGGTGTGGAGTTTTGCGCGTGGGGGTGTGTCAAGATCCGTGAGGGGGAGTGGGGCAAAGTGGGGAGGGGTGGTAAGATGGAGGATTCAGCGCCGGGTGCGCTAAGGTGGGGAGCTCGTCTGTATCCTTACAGGGGCCTACGTTTTGTGCTTCTATTTGCTAGCCATTGCACCCCCAACCCCTCTTTTTTCCCTCCCTTCCTTCCCGCCCCTTCTCCTCCGCCCCTCACACTCATTCTCACACCACCGCAGGTGCAAGTGGTGCAGCAGATCAACCACGAGGGCGAGGTGAACAGAGCGCGCTACATGCCCACTCCCCCCCCCCCCCCCCCCCCACTTCTGCCCCACCCGGCATTCCCTCACGCGCGCTCACTCTCTCAGGTGCAAGTGGTGCAGCAGATCAACCACGAGGGCGAGGTGAACCGAGCGCGCTACATGCCGCAGAACCCCTTCCTCATCGCCACCAAGACCGTCTCTGCCGAGGTGAGCACTCTTTGGCTGGTTTCGAGCATCCTTAAAACGGGTACAGCGGTGTAGTATTGGCCTACCCAGGGAGCACTACATGCCGCAGAACCCCTTCCTTATCGCCACCAAGACCGTCTCTGCTGAGGTGTGCTCCCTCTTGCTTGTTTCGAGCTTTCTTTAAACGGGTACAGCTGTGTAATAACAGCCTTTTTATGGCGCGCTACATGCCAGAGAACCTATCACCACCAAGACAGTCTCTGCTGAGGTGAGATGAATCAAGACCGATCCCGTCTTGGTGGCTCCAAGACCGTCTCTGCTGAGGTGAGATGGCATTATTAAGGCCCATTGTGCTCCCAGTGTGCCCAAACCCCCCTGCCATACGTGTTCGTTCTAGTTAGATTACCCTTGTTCCGCCTCCCCTGCACCGCCTCCTCTGCTGCCTTCCCTCCCTCCCCTGGCCCCGGCCCACAGGAGGGCACGTGCGATCCGGATCTGCGCCTGAGGAGTCACAAGGCGGAGGGGTACGGGCTGTCCTGAAGCCCCTTCCGCGTTCTCTTACCAACCCTCTGCTACCTTCCCTCCCTCCGCCTCCCCTGCCCCCGCTCCACATCCACAGGTATTTGTATTCGACTACAGCAGACACCCGTCAAAGCCCCCTCAAGAGGGCACATGCAACCCTGTTCGACTCATCCCCCACACCCCACCCCACAGGTATTTGTATTCGACTACAGCAGACACCCGTCCAAGCCCCCTCAAGAGGGCACATGCAACCCTGTTCGACTCATCCCCCACACCCCACCCCACAGGTATTTGTATTCGACTACAGCAGACACCCCTCAAAGCCCCCTCAAGAGGGCACATGCAACCCGGACCTGCGCCAGAGGGGCCACAAGACAGACGGGTACGGGCTGTCCTGGAGCCCCTTTTGCGCCACAGGTGCAAATTTTCAGCGCATATTTCCTCCTCCGCTTCCCCTGTTCGACTCATCCCCCACACCCCACCCCACAGGTATTTGTATTCGACTACAGCAGACACCCCTCCAAGCCTCCCCTAGAGGGAACATGCAACCTTTTGAGTCGACTCAAAAGTCAACTCCTCCCCTAGAGGGAGCATGCAACCTCGACCTGCGCCTGAGAGGCCACAAGACGGAGGGGTAGGGGCCGTCCTGGAGTCCCTTCCGCGCCCACCTACCCACCCTCTGCTCTCTTGCTCCGCCTCCCCTCCCCTGGCCCCGGCCCACAGGTATTCGTGTTCGATTACAGCCGGCACCCATCAAAACCCCCGCAGGAGGGCACATGCAACCCCGACCTGCGCCTGAGGGGCCACAAGACGGAGGGGTACGGGCTGTCCTGGAGCCCCTTTCGAGCCGGGCACCTGCTGAGCGGGTCAGACGACATGCAGATCTGCGTGTGGGACATCGGCGCGGCCACTAAGGCGAACAAAGTGGTGGAGGCGAAACACGTGTTTCGGGTGGGTTGGGAGGGGTGGGGAGGGGTTGTGAGGGGGCCACCTGCTGAGCGGATCAGATGTCATGCTGATCGGGCTGCTATTAAAGCCAACATAAGTGGATGCTCTGCTGCTGCTGCTCTGGCACCTGCGCTCCCCCTCCCTCCCCACCCACGCACTCTTGTCAAGCCCCACGCACACACAGACGAGATTCGCACAGTCTGAAAGCCCGTTCTTCCCCGCATCCCACCCCTGCTCTCCATCCACATTCCCTCTCTCTCCCGCTGCTCAACCAACCCAGGCACACACGGGGGTGGTGGAGGACGTGGCGTGGCACTGCCGGCACGAGTACCTGTTTGGGTCCGTGGGGGACGACCAGCAGCTGCTGCTCTGGGACCTGCGCTCCCCCTCCCCATCTACGTGCTCTCACCAACCCACGAGCACACACAGACGTGATTTTAGCCGTCTCAAAAGCTCAGTTGCCCGCGCCCTCAACCTCCACACCCTCTTTTTTTGCACAACTCCCCCTCTCCCCCCCCCCCTCCCCACCCACAACTCCCCCTCTCCCCCCCCTTCCCCACCCACAACTCCCCCTCTCCCCCCTCCTCCCAGGCACACACGGGGGTTGTTGAAGACGTGGCATGGCACTGCCGGCACGAGTACCTGTTTGGGTCCGTGGGGGACGACCAGCAGCTGCTGCTCTGGGACCTGCGCTCCTCCGCTGTTGACAAACCCGCGCACGCGGTTACCGCACATCCTGCCGAGGTAAGTGAAGGCCCCACGCCGCACCACACCACGCCACACCACTCCTCACCAGCAGCTGCTGCTCTGGGACGTGCGCTCCTCTGCTGTCGATAGACCCGCACACGCGGCTGCCGCGCATCCTGCCGTGGGACGTGCACCACATCGCACCACATTACACCGCACCAGTAGCTGCTGCTCTGGGGCCTGTGCTCCTCTGCTGTTGACAAACCCGCCCATGCAGTTCCCAACATGCGCTTGCCCCCATCGGGTGAACTGCCTGTCCTTCAACCCGTTCAACGAGTGGGTGCTGTGCTGGTGACAGGGACCGCTGATAAGCCTATGGTTCCCATTCCTCTCCCGAAATGCCCAATCAATTCAGCTCTCCTCTCCCAACACGCGATCGCCCCCATCAGGTGGACTGCCTGTCCTTCAACCCCTTTGCTCTTTCAATCGATTTCTCCTCCTCTCCTCATTCCGTTCGAGCGCCTCTCTCCTCTCTCCATTCTTCTTGCATGAACCCGTCCACATATGCTCACGTGAACCCGTCCATTCACACATGACTCGATCCCACCAGGTGAACCGTCTGTCGTTCAATCCGTTCAACGAGTGGGTGCTGGTGACAGGGACAGCTGCAAAGACTGTGGCTTCGCATTCCACCCCCCCTTTTGCCTATTCCGTCCAACCCTCTTCTCCTCATCCCTTCATTCCTCGCACGTGACCCTATCCCACCAGGTGAACTGTCTGTCGTTCAATCCGTTCAACGAGTGGGTGCTGGTGACAGGCTCGGCTGATAAGACAGTGGCTCTGCATGACATTCGGAACCTCTCTAGGCGCCTGCACACATTTGTTCAACACACGTGAGTGGAGACACACTTGCATGCATGGTGTCATTTTGTCCCACGTACCTATGTCTGATATGCTGTGCCCGCCATTGTGCATAATAAACTGTGGGGAAAAGAAGAACAAAAAGCCGAAAGCTTTCCGGGTCTTCGCACAAAACATGGCACCCCTGCCTTCGTGCCTGCGCCTCATTATTTTTCCCAATGCCTTCTCCCCCTGCCTTCTCCCCCTGCCTTCTCCCCCTGCCTTCTCCCCCTGCTTTATCCCCCTGCCGAACCGAGTGCAGGGAGGAGGTGTTTCAGGTGGGGTGGAGCCCGAAGAATGAGACCATCCTAGCCTCCTGTGGGGCTGACAGGCGGCTCATGGTCTGGGACCTTAGCAGGTGTTTCCCTTTTTTTCTCTCTCTCTTTGTCTTATGAAGAATGAGACCATCCTTTCGTCATTTAGCCTGTGCTGTTTTTTTTTTCCAAGTCAGCCAGCCCACTCACCTGGCGGCTCAACCAGCTGCTCATATGTAAACTCCTCAACCGCAGATTGTCCGTAGGTCAGGGTTTATGGCAGGGTTTGCAGAGATGTTAATTCTGCTAATTCTCCCACAACCCATTTCCCACAACACCCCCTCCCGCTCCCGCCCGCCCGCTCCCACCCCCACTCCTCTCCCCCCCCTTCCCGAACTTTTCTGGCAGGATCGGCGAGCAACAGGCGCCAGACGATGCCGAGGACGGGCCGCCCGAGCTACTGTTCATCCACGGGGGCCACACGAGCAAAATATCTGATTTCTCGTGGAACGGCAATGATGACTGGGTGATTGCCAGCGTGGCAGAGGATAATATCCTGCAGATCTGGCAGATGGCTGAAAATATCTACCTGGATGACGAGGAGGAGGAAGGGGGGGAGGCGGACGGGGGGAGAGATGCAGGGGGGAGAAGAAGGATGACTGAATGAGCGCGGTTTGAGTCGTTCAAAAAATCAGATCTGGAAGATGGCGGGATGACGAGGAGGAGGAAGGGGGGGAGGACATGGGGAGAGATGCAGTGGGGAGGAGACGGATGACGGAATGAGCTAGTTTTGAGAAAGCGCCAATGATTTTGCGTACAAATCACAGGGTTGAAGAAGGGTGGAGTAGAAAATGCAGGAGCTCTGTGGAGAAGCAGCTGGGTGGACGGATGACAGATGGTACAGGTGCTGTCTTACTGACCGCCTAGCTCTCTTACAGGTGCTGCTGTCAGCGAGATAACCTGCATTGCTGCTTGCTGGTGGTTGGAAAGGGATTGGCTGGGAGGTTTGGAAAGTACGAGCTGCAGCACCATCATGAGATGAGAAGCAATCAAATAGTAAAAGCCAGAATGTCTTTGGTAGGGATAAGAATGTTGTTTTGACCTTTAACCATGTCCTTACTCACACGTCTCACCAAAATGGAACATAGATGACAAATGTCTCTTGAAAAGTACGAGCAGCAGCACAGTGGGATGAGAAGCAATCAAATAGTATAAGCCACAATGTGTTGGGTAGGGATAAGAATGTTGTCTCACCAGCAGCATCTTTTTTACACCACCAAAAGTCTCTTGGATCTATGACAATGCACAAGGTTTGCAATGTATACATGTTATTACTGTAAGTGACAAATGTCCCGTATGATAATGTGGGTGTGGTATACGGGGATGGGTGTCTGTCAGACATGTGGCGCTGTTTCCCGCGCAAACAAGCCCAACCATGATAATCCCGCGCTTCGGAGATGCTGTAACCTTTCCCACGAAAGCGGTCAAAACTCTCGCGAATCAATCATCCCGCAAGCGAAAAGCAGTTTTCCCAGTTTCACGAAACTGAGGCCGTGCGCCGACGTTGCGGCGGCCTGCACCAGAGCTGCGATAGGGAAACAATTGCCTTGCCCTCGAACATCCTCTTGCATTCCCCTGGTCTCACCTCTCTTACTTTTGTGGATCCCTGTCAACCGCTCTGAAACCCTTTGGATTCCCTGAAATGCTTCACTGAACTCTTCTGACTTCCTGAATCCCCTTGTCGAGCTTCCCTGAACCCCATTCTTTCCATGATCACCGCAACTATCTCAGACTCCTAGGCATCAGACTAGTCCGTTTCTTTGGAATCCATGGCTGCCATTTGAAGTTCTATCGCCAACTGTTAACTAAGTCTTCTTAGTATTGATAGCGGCTTAATTCTATATTATCTTGTGTTCGAGTTTCATGGTCTAGCATGATTGAGGAATATCTGGTTTCGTCAGCTATCCATCATGGCGGTCGTCTAGATCGCAGACCGTTAAATACCTCTCAAGCATAGTCCTAGTCGTATCTGTAGATGATAAAGCGCTACTACGTTGTGTAATACATTCAGAGTAGCTCGATTATAGAACAAGTAGCATTTCTCTTTATTCAATACTGATTAGGTTGTTATTCGAAGCGCCGTTGTGATCCACTAGCACATCGAGAAATCTCTGCTTAAGGCTGTCAGATACGGTTTCGTGACGTAGTTTCGGTTCGTCGTGATGCATCTGAGCCGTCATGAAGCATGGTTCACTTGGCGACAGCCACAGCTGTTTCAGGCAGCACCGATGACGCAGCTCTGTCGTACACCACGACAACAACTTTTAAGACAAGGACCGAGGCACAGACCGTATTAAAAAGCTTCCCGATGTGCAGAGGTGCAGGCGACTGCAGGCAAAGTAAGACCGGATTTCCAGATGTGGAGTTCTGACGACGACGGCGCTTGCTGACGGGAAGGCGAAGGCGGAGGCGATCAGTGGAGCTGCAATGTGGATGGAGCGACGACCATCGCCGACGGAGCTGACATTGGTGATGAAGGCGAAGGCGGTCGAGGAAGGCGGAGGCGAATGCGAATGCGAATACGAAGGAGAAGGAGGAGGCGAAGGCGGAGGCGAAGGAGAAAGGCGAACGCGATGGATCCCGTCGTTCAACCACCCCACAGCTAAGTCCCCTCTGAAGCCCTACTCGCTTCCTTGCCATCCGAATCGCTTTCTGTCTTTGGTTCAATGTCCTGTCGCTTTGCTTTCTTGGTGCGTGCTCGTATCCAAAACGTCAATTCAGCGTGGCGATGGTAGCGCATGGCACTGGGGCGGCTTGAGCTCATACTAGAGTCGTAGGGGGTTAGAATAGAAAGCATTCATACCCATGCTGCGTCCCTTCCTTACCTCGTCACCCTTGCCTGCTAGCTCGGTGCCCTAGTGCTGTGTGCTACCATCGCCTCCGCTTTCACAGCGTCACAGTGCCACGTGCTTTTTATCTTTAACTTTCGTTTCCTCTACTCATCGTTCTTGTTATCTCTGTGTCCATGCATGCATTTCACTGCTTTCATGCTTCTACTGACTACTTGGGTTCCTTTCCCCTGCTCTGTTTTCTTGCTCTCCTTCCCATCTCGTCTGGTGCTATGGCAGCGTGGTGCGGGGAGGGAGGGCGGTGGGATGACGCGCAGCAGGCAGTCACAGCGGTGTGCGAGCCTCCTGGAAGCCTGACGCCACTGTCCTGCAAGCACCCCCATACGGCCAAGTTCCCTGTCCCTTCGCCCTTGCCATCCTTACCACTTCTGCTTCGTGTTTTATCATTGCCCACTTTTGTACCGCATTCTTCCGTCACCGCGTGCTCGAAACAAATGAGCCCATTCTCGAATGGGAGCGATCAAAAGTTGAGTGAGAGATGAGTGGCGTTTGGCGATGGTAGCGCATGGCACTGGGGCGGCTTGAGCTCATACTAGAGTCGTAGGGGGTTAGAATAGAATGCATTCATACTCATGCTGCGTCCTTTCCAAATTTGCCTGCTAGCTCGGCGCCCTAGTGCTGTGTGCTACCATCACAGCGTCACAGTGCCACGTGCTTTTTATCTTCAACTTTCGTTTCCTCTACTCATCGTTCTTGTTATCTCTGTGTCCATGCATGCATTTCACTGCTTTCATGCTTCTACTGACTACTTGGTTTCCTTTCCCCTGCTCTGTTTTCTTACTCTCCTTCCCATCTCGTCCGGTGCTATGGCAGCATGGTGCGGGGAGGGAGGGCGGTGGGATGACGCGCGGCAGGCAGTCACAGCGGTGTGCGAGCCTCCTGGAAGCCTCACGCCACTGTCATGCAAGCACCCCCATACGGCTAAGTTCCCTCTCCCTTCGCCCTTGCCATCCTTTCCGCTTCTGCTTCGTGTTTATCATTGCCCACTTTTGTACTGCATTCTTCCGTCACCGCTGCTCAAAACAAATGAGCTTATTTTTTAACGAAAGCGATCAAAAGTTGAGTGAGATGCTGCACTGGGGAGCCTCCCGCTCCACCCCTGCTGCATCGGGGAGCCTCCCGCTCCACCCCTGCTGCATCGGGGAGCCTCCCGCTCCACCCCTGCTGCACTGGGTAGTCTCCCGTTCCACCCGTGCTGCACCGGGGAGCCTCCCGCTCCACACCTGCTGCACCGGGGAGCCTCCCGCTCCACCCCTGCTGCATCTGGGAGCCTCCCGCTCCATACCTGCTGCTCCGGGGAGCCTCCCGCTCCACCCCTGCTGCACCAGGGAGCCTCCCGCTCCACCCCTGCTGCACCGGTTAGCCTCCTGCTCCATCCTTGGATTATGCTGTGATCAGTCGTCTCTCCTGTCACGCATTTTTCTGCTTCCATTGATTTGAATGAATAACTTCAATCCTATCTCATGTTCCGTTGCACTCTTCTCTTCTGCTCCCCTCCTCTCTTCTGCTGCCTTCCTCTCTTCTGCTGCCTTGCTCTCTTCTGCTCTCCTCCTCTCTTCTGATCTCCTCCTCTCTTCTGCTCTCCTCCTCTCTTCTGCTCTCCTCTCTGCTGCCCTCCTCTCTTCTGCTGCCTTGCTCTCTTCTGCTCCTCTCCTCTCTTCTGCTCCTCTTACAGCAGCGGCATGACACCTGGGAATGATTGTCAGTGCAACGACATCGTTGACCGAGAAGAGGCGGGAGGGAAGACTCCATGCCAGAGTAACGTAAGTTGTTTTCTGGGACTGTTTTTTGGCATGCTATGTTTGTCGCTTGTTATGGTCTCGGTCCTCGTGCC